AACTGAACAGACTTCCTGGCTTGACCTCATACCTGCCTGGCAATCATTGGACTGGCACTGACTGCCACCACCAGGAACGATACTGACCTACAAACCAACTTCTCACCTGGATCTTGGACCTGTTTTGCCACCACAAGCTCACCTGATGATCTGGACTCCCAATTGAACCCAAGTCCATCCCTGGGCCTGCATGCTCCTTGTAGGAAACTTGGACAAGACTTGGCTGGAGAGACTTTGTACTGCCAGCCTTTTGTCTCTTGTCCCCTAGATCCCAGATGCTAAGGAGCAGTTGTCCTATCTCTCCGTCCTGACAGAAGAAAACCTTCCCAGTAAAACATATTGTCCCTGGCCCACCACCCAAGTCCGCTCTTCTTCTGCAAGTCTGTCCTGTTTTCCTGCAAGACCTTACTACAACTCATCCCTTCCCAGTATTATGGAGGAATAGAATGTAAGAAAATAGTGCAGAAGGTAATCTCATACCTGAGGAGTTGCAGCTGTACAAATCACCAAAGATTAGGAACAGGCCTGCCCTTAATAGGCCACAGCTGTGTCCAATAAGAAGACAAGTGCTACAAAAGAGTGGGTTAGCTGGGTGAGGAGAGAGCTGGAGTTTGTTGGTTGTGCTGTGAAGATGGTGGAGTCTAGTGCTGTGAGGAGCTGCATGTGCAAAATCACCAAGAAGGTATAGAGCTTTTGAAATAAGTTAACAAAACAGTATTTGTCATTAAGCCATTTGGAGCCCCAGCCAACTCAGCCTCCTGGAGTGGCACCACCTTACCAGGCCAGGGGGGGAGCTGTAAGCTGAGTTGTTTCCTGAACAGTCCCTACCTGTAACTGTGGTGACAAACAAGCCCTTAAGTTTCAGGGAGAAGGCTGATGTACACTGTGGTTACAGGATATTTTATATTGTTTTAAGCACTGGAGGATAGGCTGGGAGAGATGGAAAAGATTAAAAATACAGCTATTGTGGACCCCTGTCCCTGTGCTGGGCTGGAAGGGCACTACCCCAGCATTGCTCTGAGGCACTGGAGCAGTGCTCATGGATTCCATTGGATTAGCACTGCCTCTTGCAATCATTCTGCACCCAATGCACCTAACAGCAACATGAAGGGAGTAGGTTGAAGTGGGACTGAGCAGAACCCTTTGATGCAGGTGTGGTGTTCAGTGGGTGACCAGAAGTTTCAGGTGTGAGGGGTTTTGACAAAGATGGAGAACATAGCTGGGAAGAACTTCTGGGGAGCAGGGCCCAGGCTCAGTGTGACTGTTGTGTTGGCTGGGAAGCGAGGTGGGACACTGTACGGCATTGTCAGGAAGGCGGCCAGCAGATTCCTCAGTGATGGGGTAGCAATGAATGACCTCAGAGCACAAATGGTCTGTGCAGCTGGTGGACTCCTCTGAGCACCCTGCCTGTGCCAGGGAGAGTGCAGGGCCCCAGCTCTCCTGGGAGGCAGCCCACACCTTTGTAGTACCCTGTAGACTGGCCTGCCTGCTGAGGCTAGCGGGGAGGAAAGTGTTAGTAGCTCACAGAATTATTAACAGAAGAAGCAGAAGGACAAAAGAGAAAGTCAAAGAGTGGTTGCCTAGCATCAGGCACAGAACTGGATCTGAAAAAGCTGAGCAAAATTTAGCGCTGGAAATGAAGGGATGGTGACTGCTCTGAAAAGCTGCTATCACAGATGTTCTGAGTAAATGCTTGTGGTCAGTTTGAAAATACAGAGACAAACTGAACATTGACATAGACGACTATGTTAAAAGAGCAGTGCCATTTTAGGCCCTTTAGGTAAAAGAGCCTGACATTCATATTTCAACAACTTTCTCTCCCACATACCCCTGCTGATAAGCCTCCCCACCTTCAAAGACTGATCTGTTGGGTCCAAATGGCATCAAATCCTTCTCCCCCTAAATGCTTTTGGAGTCTCTGATAATGTAGAATGGGAAGTAAAGGCCTGTGTGGGGCTGGGTAGCCCTGACACAGGAGTGCAGACCTCCTCACCCAGCTGCTGTGGAGATTATCAGAATCATTAGCCAGGGACATTGTGAAAAAGGGTTTACACTAAAGTCAACATCTGAGAAACTGAGTGTCCTGCTGAAAGTGTGTTGAGAGAGCTAGCTCCCTCTGTGGTTCTTATGGTACTTGCTGGAACGTAGTGGGTTCTGTTTGGAAGGGCAGTGTTCTTTTGCAACCATACATCTGGCATCATCTGACTACAGAGCACTCTCTGTTAGGAGATCAGACCCAATCCTTTAGAGCTGTGTATGCCTGTTCTTGAAGAACTGCTGCTGTTCTGATGTGAGTGAAACAGCCTGCTGTGTGTATGCTGAGCACGAGCAATAAGGGGAGAGAAAGAAGGATGAAAAGGAGAGCCCTTCTTGACTATGTGCCTTACTGTAGTTGCTTTAGTCCAGCTGTTCCTCATGCAGTTGCCACTGCTATGACTTTGTGACACTGGCTGCCATGTCTGGCTCTTGAATATTTTTATGCTCTATTCTTTTTCTGTGTACTGTCTATTCTGAGGCAGACATGCAGGAGACAGGATATTCATTATGCTAAACCAACCATAATTCAGAGGAGGAAAATGACACATTTTTATACAGTGTTTGTTACATTTCATAGGCCATCCCCAATGCTTGTGTGTGTCACTGCAGTGGGTTGACTCTGGCTGGATGTGGGACACCCACCAAAACTCCTCTATCATTCCTCCTCCACTGCTGGACAGGGGAGAGAAAATGTAATGATGGGTATAGTGAAGGGTTCATGAGTTTAAATAAGGACCAGGACAGATCACTCACCAATACTTTCACAGGGAAAACATGCTTGAATGAGAGATATTAATTAAATTTATTGCTAACAAAATCAGAGCAGGATCATGAGAAGTAGAATAAGATCTCAAAAAACACCTTCCCCACAACCCCCTATCCTTCCTAGCTCTACCTTCTCCACAGCCTGGGACCAAACTTTCAAGACACTAAGGCAGTTTTGGTTACATCATGTTTCCATATTCTCTCAGTGTTGACTTTGACCAACATCTTGTTTGCCAGCTGGACAAAATGCGTACAGTGTGGGTGAGAGAGGTGTAGGTGTTAAATTACAGAGGTCCTGAAATGCACTGGTGTGGACTTCATTAGTAGTGTGCAGCAGCTCTGGGGCCTCCAACAGCTGTCCTGTGCTCAGGGAGTGGAGGTCAGGGATTTTCAAACATGCATGTGATACACAGTACGTGACATATTCCCTGGTAATGAGGAATGCAGGATGAGCCCTGTGGATGAATGGCAGGTCAGGAGCAAGCCCTCAGTGAGATTGCTACTTGTCAGTGCACTCCAGGTAAGGCTGTGGAAGGTCTCTTCTCTAAACCAAACCCTCCAGCAGGTGCCCATCTCAATAGGCATGGATAATGTAGAGGTTCTGTCTCTCAAAAAATTAACTGGAAAATAAGGAAGACTACTGTATTTTGTTCCTATATCTGGAAGCATATTTAAGATAGTAACTGGAGAGAAGGAGAGAGGGACATTGGGGAGTCAGGGAACCTGGGCTGCTTTCCCTGCACTGCATTGTTACTGTAAATTATAGCAAGTCCCTGGGGACATTTTTCAGTTCTGACTTGTGTCTCAAGTAGAGCCAACAGTCTCACACTTTCCACCAGAAGACTAGATTATGCAGAGTTCCTGTTCCTGGAGAGGAGTGGTTATACTACACTATTTATCTCAGTGCTGAGTTCTTGGATAGGTTTCTTTGTACACTCACATCACCCCTAGCTGTAATGCTCCGGCCTGTAGGGACTTTTCATATTGAAGGCTGTTCCCAATCACACCTTTCAGAATGTGTGTGAAGGCACAGGCTTGAATGGCACAAGACCTTTAGGTCATCAGCAAAACAATCTCATTCCCCACCTCTTATCCAGAAGCAGAGGGACAGCTGGGAGCCTGACTGTGCTACTCCTCTTGCCCTCTGATTTGCACCTCCTCTGAGTGGTAGCAGACTGGCTCTTCACAGGCCTGTGCCAGCAGTCCAGTGCATCTCACCTTGTTGCCCCTCTGTGAGGGCAGAGCACTGAGTGACAAGCCCTTGGCATAATTATTCTCCCTTCTGAGATCAGGTGAGAAGGTTCAGTCCTGTGCTGGAGACCCAGAGTATTTATGGGGGATGCTTTTTTCTCTTAGGCTTTCACCTCTCCCAGCCTTCCTCCCAATTCTCTGACCCCAGGGAGTGCCAAGGCTCACCACTACAAGTGCCCAGCATGGCTCTGGCTCTAGGGAACAGGGAAGCCAGTCCTGTGACACACCCACGTCACTGCTGCTGACAGATACACAAACTGATCCACTTCCTTGAGGAAAAAAAAAAAAAAATCAGTGTTCAAGAGCCAAGATGCAGGGCCTGCATGGTGTCCATGCATCCAGGAGCTGTTTTCATGTCCATGCTCAAGTGGAGGAAGGAAGACCTTGGCACAGGAATATGCTCTGGGGGCAGGTACTGAGAATAGGTAAAATGTTCACAAGTTATCACAGTTATCATTAATAATTTCAGGTTCACCACCATGCTCTGCAGTACTGGTGTGTGTGAGGACCCTGACCCACTGGGCCCCAAGAGGGGTTTTCAGCCAGCCATGGTTTGTGCCTGGTCTCTGATGCTCACTGGCACGGGCACCTTTGGTAGCCAAGGAGAAGCAGTGGCAGCCCATGTTTGTTCTGATCCCTGCCATCAGGAACACACTCCTACTTGGCACAGCCCTGGAGCAAGGACCTTGTTCCAGCCCAGGGTGCTGCTTTGCTCCTTCAGCTGTAACGAGAGCCCAAGCTGGAGCAAAGGGCTGAACAAGGTGGGTCTGCCAGTGGGTTTATAATACTATGGCTAGAGCAGAAACAATCCCACCCCGACTCCTGAAACACATTCCCCTCCATTAGGAGGGTAGAGGGATAGTCCTTTCCTTGTCCCTTTCCCCTCTTTCCTTTCCCCCGGGAGGTCACCTTCAGCAGGGAGGCAGTGTGCCCCCAGGCCCAGAGCCATGGGGACGGGGCGGAGCGTCACGCTCAGCCCCGCAGCTCCTGGCAGTCCCCTCCGGCTGCTGGCGCAGGCTGAGCCCGGCGGCTGCGGCGAGGGGAGCGAGGCAGGCGCGGCTGGCTGGCTGTCCTGCGCTGCTGGAGAAGGTGAGAGGCTTAGTGCAGGCGGAAGGGAAGTTACAGCAGTGGCAGGATGAAAGGCGCTGGACAGGCATGTAAAAGGGGCACCCACCCCTCTCAAACAGGTTTTGGAGACTCGAGCGTGGTGTGGCGGCACAGTGCGGAGCGCACCCGCTTCCCCCAGAGGGCTGATGGAGAGCTCCTTGGTGGCTTTGCCCTGGAAGGTCGCTTTGTGTCCACTTGTGTTCGCTGGGATGGTGCTGCGCTCCTGGTGGGTTGGTTGGGAGAAAGGTGTGATGTGGCTCACTGTGGTCCCAGTGAGATTGCTGAGATTGCTGCCGGTTTCTGTCCGAGGAGGCTGCTGTGCGGAGCCTGTGGTGTGCTGCGGAGAGGCTTGCGGGGCTCTCCGGGGACACTGCTGGGTGTCTCTGCCCAGAACAGCAGCTCTGCTACCGCCACAGTCATGCCGTTCTCTGCAGCGAGATTAAGCACTAGCCTGCTGACCAGTTTTAGAAAGAAGCTCATAAATCTACCAGCAATAAGGCCACAAGCAAATGTTGCCATAATCTGTTCTTATCCCTTGTTATATTAAACGTGGTTTGCACCAGAATGGACCTTTTAGGGGGAAAAAGATGCCATTCTTGAACTAAAAGTTACAAAGATGGAAGGGTATTCTTCCATAATGTTTGATGAGATTTTTAGGGGCAAATATCCTTCTTCACAGAATGTGCACCACAGCGGAGGTCTGAAATGGCCTCACTTCAGCTTCATCTATTGGTTTTATTATAATGCTTTTGCCTAACTGGGAGAGCCCTTTTTAGTGAAATTCTAGTATTCAGAAAAACGTATACAGATGATAGAGTAACTTCTTCACTATCTGTTTGATAAATTATAAAGACAGCACCCCTGGAAGTTTCCCCTGTAATTTTCAGCCCTCTTGCCATTGTCATGACTTTTTCTTGTCCTATTTCTGTCAAACTGGGGACACCAGAGGTAGCTTGCTCAACTGTGGGCTCACCGATATCATTAAAAAGATAGAAAACATCTAGTAACTGGTTCTGTTGATTTATCAGAAGAATTCAGGGAATTTACCCAAGCTTTCTTCATATCAATGGATTTTTAATGTTTCAAGAAACATCATGAAAAGGTAGATAAAAAGGAATACAAAGCAGAGCAAGCAGAAAAATAAATTTATTATAAAAATTCAAATTCCACTGGTGTGTGATATTCTCAATTGTGCAGAAGCTGTTAACAGGTGGCCAGCTCTTCAGAAATACAGCTTCCCTAACTCAGCTGATTTTTGGAGATTAAATTTCAGACTGTCTCATTGCATCTGTATGTAGGAACCTCTGCAGAAGCTGGAGTTCACTGTAAGAGGCACATTGCCTCAGAACAGATCTCTTCTTTTGTTACAATCATCTCAGCCTACGTGAAACTGAACAGCTGTCTCTACTTTTTTTTCTTGTTTGTTTTCTTTTGTTTACAGTGAAGCTTACTTTCTTAATTTAGCATCTGGAAAATGTTAGTTTGCCTCTCACTGCTGATGTTTCCTCCATCTGAATCTTTTCAGGCATTCTCTTTAGCAGAGTGAATGCAAAAATGCAATCTGTAACATCAGTAACCCTTGATCTTAGACTTGTATACGTAATATTAAGATATGTATCTATATCACTGTAGATTATTTCTACTGCAATTCTGTATCATCCAGTATGTTAAGGCCTGCAAAGGTAGTGAGGCTATTCCAAATCTATATTTCTGGATTTACAGAGTGTCCATTCAGCAGCATGAAGAAACTAGATGTGTCTGATTAGTATGACTTTTTTCCTTTTTTTTTTTTTTTTTTTCCCTGTTACCCATCCAATGCCAGACTAAAATCCTGACTTCTTTGGTCATTTGGAATGCTTTTGTATCTGTGTATGTGTATGCACATAGATAGTTGCAGTTTTACCAAGCAACACATTGTCTACTCAAACCATTTTTTGTGCCATTTGCAGTATTTTTCTGGACGATTTCAGTGTTTCCTTCTAGATCATTGACAAAGATAAAAGTATTATGACAGAGTTAGGATTGAAAAAATTGTGTAGGGTGAGAACAACAATAAAAATATGGCATTTTCCACTATATACTGGGCTTTTAAATAATTAATTAAACATGTGTTGCTTCTTGGTTTAGACCAATGCCATGGTGAATTTGTACAGATAACTTTCAGGAAACGACCAGTGAATGGGACATTTCTGGCAGCTGCTGTATGAACCAATACCAGGATAAGAACTGCTTCAAACCAACAATTTAGAGGTTGGTGGGAGGTGCCTGCAGGTGGGGTCCTTACACAGCCCTGAAGCAGAAGTGTGATAACAACTGGGTGAAGTGATCCGGATTACTTGGTGCACTAAATCTATTTGAGCAAAATGTGCTTTACTAAACATGGTGCAAAAATATTCAGGTAGAAACCAGGTAGGCAGCACCCATAAAAGGACATGAAGAGAAGTTATTTTTTCCCCAACATTCCCCCAGTAATTTGGAAGAACTCTGGAGTCATAATGGATGTATAAGGTAGTGCAGCCTGTGTGTCATTCCTGCAAAAAGAGATCTTGAGGCCACAGCATGAGGCAGGGGGGAATTCTAGCTGAATGTGTGACCGGAGGCATTCCCCCCAAGACAGTCGGGGTTTTAATGTGGGGGATGGGAGGAGAAAAATTATGAGACTTTAGAAAAGAGCCATGAAACAGATCTGAGAGCTGGACAATCTGAGAGCTTGGTCTGACAAGTAGACAGAAAGTTATTGGAAGGCATTGAACCAATAGGAAAACTGAGAGGTGTCTTGATCAGAGAGCATAGAGATGCTTATTCTCAATTCAAAATGTGACCACATTTTGTGGCAGCATCACATCTGTTTTTTAAGTAACTGATGCAGGCACTACAGAAGCACAGCGTGACAGATGCTTTGTGAAGCCTAAGTAAAGCATCAGTTAAATGCATTGCTTGAGCTTCAGTCTGGTAGTTTTACACAACCTAATTAATTGAAAATATGTTCTCATAGCCTGTGGTCATACCTCTGACCACAGTGCATATAAACCCTGCAAGAGTCTGGAGAAATTTAACAGGTATCAGAAACCTCATTTCTCTATCTGAGAAACTTCAGCAGCAGGTTAGGTAAATTCAGATTAGGTTATTATATGAATACCTAACAGCAAGAATGTTCACACCGGCATTTATAATTGACCAACTGTCTTTGGATCAAGCCTGAATGACTTTTTGAAAGAGATGCCCCAGATGCTATTTGTTATTTGGTTTGTGTTAAGGCCCTGTGGAAGGTCAGACAAGAAAGTGGAGCCCACATGTCATATGCTCAAGGCCATTTTTAATAGAGTATCTTTGATATGAGAAGAGGCTGAAACAGCTGAAACTCTTCAGCTTGAAAAAGAGAAGGCTCAGAAGGGATCTTATTGGTGTATATAAATATCTGATGAGGGGTAATGAAGAAAAGGGAGCCAGACTCTTCTAAGCAGTCATCATTGATGGGAGTCTCCATCTATGGGGATATTGAAGACCTGGCTGAACACCTTCCTAGACAACCTGCTTCAGTTGCTGCAGCTGGAGCAGGGGACTTTAATGGATTAGATCATCTCAAGAGGTCCCTTCTAACCTAAACACCTCTGTGATTCTGTTATCATAGCACTGTCTCTGTTATACAGGGATCACACTGTCTTTGGCTTTTGACACGTATTTTCTGCACTAAATATATTAATCATTTTGGTTGAAGAACCAGAATAACATTACCTGGACTAAGACATTGTATTTCCATAGGTTAGATGGTTAGATCCCCCTCAGCTTCTCAGGTGGTTCAGAAGTATCTCATGATGGTGTAAAGGATGTGAGGTTTTGCTGCTGTAATTAGAGATTCTTTTAAGGAAATATGGTTTCTCACAGTCAGCAGCCTGGAAACAAGAGCTCTAGCAGGGATGAAGCATGGAAAGGAAAGAACAGGTTTGAATAGGACTCTGACTGCTGCCTTCAGTACAGCACAGCCAAATGGTGAATGCATGCTGGTCAGGGCCCTGGTGACCTCCTCTTCAGTGCTTGTCAGTCTGCAAAGGGAAAATGACACTTCAGAAAGTACCACAAGTAGGTGCAGAGCACTCAGGCACACTCTACTCAGCAGTGACCCAAATTTGATCCTCACTTACCTTCTTAGCTAATTGCAGTGGCATCTCAAAGAAAGACCTGAACACATCAGCTATTTTCTCAAGTATGGACTTTCTCTTGTAGTTCATGACTCCAAGGGCAGCAAGGGCCAAAGTTTACAAACTGTTCTGGAGTGACAGCAGCTCGGGCTTCCTTCATAAGGAGCCCTGATCAGACCCACAGGTCACAGGCCCTCAAGAAACTCTACCCATATCCTCTGGATGGTCTGTTCTTCCAAGCTGGCTCATTCACATTATTGCTCTACTCTTGCAAAAAAGTAGGGCCAATTACTTGGTACTTCTGAATTGGATAAAATTTAGAAATGCAGTCTAGGAGGGAGGGAATAGAAGAGGAACTTTACCACAAATAGTCCCAGGCTCCTGTAGAAATCCAGCCTTGTAAATAATTCTTTTTTTTCCAAATTTAGTTGAAGAATGATTGGATTTAGCAGCAGTGGGGCTCCTTTGCAGAAGAGAGATGTGAACATACTGGAACAAATCCAGACTGTGAAGACAGTTAAGATATGGGAGTATCTCTCATAGAAGGAGAGGGTAACAGAGCTGGGACTTGATCAGGCTTGAGGGGATCATCTGATGGGATGCATATGAATACCTGCAAAAACACACAGCAAGGTATATCACAGTATCAAATGATACTGAGTGAAAGAACAGGAGATAGTGGGCCTGAAAGAAAATTTCTATTTAAGCAGAAGTTAAAATCTTTGTTACCACAAAGGTGATTGAACACTGAAACAGGTTCCCCACAGCAGCTGTGGAGCCTCCATCCTTGTAGATATGTAAAGCTGGGCTGGGCATCGGACAACCTGGTCTAGCTAACCCTCCTCTGAGCAGGATGTTTCAGTAAGAGGTCTCCAGAAGTACCTTCTGGCATTTACCATCCTGTGACTCTGGTTCTGTGACCTTGCTCCAAGGCCAGGAGGAACTCCCAGGTCCAAAGTGCCTTGTTCAGAGCACAGGGACATAAACAGGGAGAGAGCGCTGCCACAGAGGCCTTAAAATGCTGCCTTGCGGCTGGCTGGGAAAAAAGGAAAAAACTCTTCTCTGAAATGGGTCTGAAGCAGCTGGCTAGAGCTCAAAATGCCATTGATGTCCTAGGTTACTTCCTGTATAAGTTACTTGGCTGCACAGATGCGTGACTTTTGGTCAGAAATGTCATCAGGCATGTGAGGTACTGAGCTGCCTTTGGCTTCTCCGGGGCACTCTGCCTTTTGTCATGTGCCTGTGCCTGAGGGACAGGTCTGTCTCATCTGCTGACTCAAGGACTTTCTCCAGTAAGCAGTAGAGGTGGAATTCTGAGTAGAGAGATGAGATCTTTCTGCAGTAGGCTAAGGAGGGCAAGGAGGGGTGACTTGGACACACTTGAAAATCTGGGACTCTGCTAATGTTTTGCCTATTGTCTAATATTAGGCAAAAGGATTAGGGGGCTGGAGGAAGTTCCCTTCAATACAGAGACCTTTTCTATGATGAGGGGCTTTGCCCAGAGATGTGCTGTATAAAAGTGTAAATTCAATTCTAGCACAGCAGCAAGAGTATTCAGGCTCCAGGTGGCAGAAATATGCCATGACATGGTTGGTGTTGCATGTTTGATCTGGCTTTCTCTGTGAGTGCTGTGATGTTCCTGACTCTGGCTATGGTGTTCCTGCAGCACTCAGCTATGGCAGAGAGCTCAGCCGTGACTGCAGCAGTGCCAGAGAGAGCAGCACCCACCAAGCTGGAGGAGCTCCTGGAGATCACCGCTCAGAGCCTGGTGCGCGCTGAGGTGGCTGAGCACTATGAGGTTGTTCGGGAGCTGGGCAGGGGCAAGTATGGCCATGTGATGCTAGTGACCCACAGGCAGAGAGGTAAGGAGCTGACTGTGCCCTGTGAACTACTGTGCCTTGTCTCCTCTCCACTCACCAGGGCACAGAGCATGGGGTGGGCTGGTGGCACACTGGGGACAGACACCAGGCATGGCAGGGAGGATCCCCAGGGAGACCAGCAGGATGGGGACCTCCCCACCTAGGGATCATCCCATGACATCCAGCCGGAGTCCAGGCGATGCCAGGGGGCAGCCCAGAACATCTGGCAAGGTTATGATGATAAGACAGGTCCAAGGTCAAGCTGGGAAGTTAATTCACAAGCCAGGATCAAAAGAATTCACAGATATGCACCAACATGCATGTGATATAGATGGAAACAGCAGTCCCACCACAGGGCTCAGTCACAGAGCCCCAAGCCTGATCTGAAGTGGTGCCCTAAGGCCCATGGGCAGAGGGTGTGAATGAACATCCTGGGTTGGCCATATGAGTGCCCTGATACTGCTCTTCCCCAGTAGACCCAGCTCAGACTGATGGGCCCATTTATCCTGAATGTCCCTACTCTGCCCGGGGTTCAAAACTCACACCAGCAGCAGTTCCTGTTCCCAGGCCTGGTGTCCACAGAGTATATCCACACAAGCTTTGGAATAGAGACTTCCCTGTGGCTGTGACTGCCTGGATCTGTGGCTGCTCTGTCTTGCCTTGGTGTGACTTCCAGAGGAGTCAAATTCCCTCTTCCCATCCCCAGGGACTCCTATGGCTCTCAAGCTGCTACCCAAAGCCAGTACCAAGCTGCACACCTTCCTGTATGAGTATTGTGTAGCACTGTCCCTCGCCACCCACCCTGCCATCATTGGCATGTTCGGAATTGCCATTGAGTCCAGCCAGTACTATGGCTTCCTCTATGAACCAGCGCTGCACAAAGACCTCATCTCTATCATCAAACCCCGCGTGAGTGTTGCCACCAGGCCATGGGGATTGGGCTGTAGTGTTTGGCCCCTCTGAAGGCTGGCTGGGTCAGAGGGAGGGAGATAAAGTCGATGGCTGTGGGTCTATCTGGGGTCTGCAGCACTGAAGCAGCCTTGGGCTTGCAAAGTGAGAAATGTGAAGGTCTTTCCCAGCGCAGAGCACTGAGGTGAGAGCCCGTCTGGCAGGGCTGCTGAGGTGCCCCACGTGTGCTATCCTGCCTGTCTCTCCCTGCCCAGGATGGGATCCCTGAGCCGGCCGCAAAGCAGTGTGCCAAGCAGCTGGTGAGCGCGCTGGAGTTCATCCACAGCCGGGGGCTGGTGTACCGCGACATCAAGCCCGAGAACGTGCTGCTTTTTGATCCTGACTGCCGGCTCGTCAAACTCACTGACTTCGGCCTGACGAGGCCCAAGGGTACCAAGCTCAAGCTGGTGGCTGGGGTAATTCCCTACACCGCCCCCGAGCTGAGCAACACTGCTGATGCCCAGGGGGTGCCCATCGACACCAGCATGGATGCCTGGGCCTTCGGGGTGCTGCTTTTCTGCCTGCTGACTGGCTACTTCCCCTGGGAGCAGAGCCTGCCAGAGGACCCTTTCTTTGAGGACTTCATGCAGTGGCAGGAGACAGGTCTGGAGAAGGACGTGCCCCGGCACTGGAGGCGCCTGACGGCCGAGGCTGCCGGCATGCTGCGGAGCCTGCTGGCTCTGGATCCCGCCAAGCGCGGCCCTGTCAGCGCGGTGCTGCGCTATGTCGGCTGCCCTTGGCGGCTGGAGGGCGGGCACGGTGAGGAGGCTGCCGTGAAGTCCTAGGGCATCCTAGGGCCTGCTCCCCACGGCAAGAGGGAAGGAGGGTCACAGCCTGCAAGGGCCTTCAGGGTTTGGGCACCATGGTGGCCTGGGCGTGAGAGGCCATGGTGGCCCAGAGAGCAACTTCTCTGCAGCACAGAGCCAAGCTTCTTCTCCAGCAGATGGCCCTCACCCCAGGACTCAGTGCTGCCCAGTGCAGCCTCCTTGTGGCTTGGAAACATCTTTCTCTTGGAAATGACTGTGTGAAGCATCCACTTGTTTCCTAGCCACAGGAACTCCAGGGAGTTATTTAGGCTGCAGCACCTGCCATGCCTCAAAACAGAGCAAAATATGTACTTTTGTGTTTCTGTATGTGGCTCATTTTCCCTCATAATAAATGCCTGTTGGGACCCACTTACTGTTGGAAAGCAGGGAGCATGTCAGAACTTGCAGCTGTCTCAGGACAAGCTGTCCAAGGCAGGGGCCATCTCTGGATGCTGCCTGTGCCTGCACCAGGACTCCTGGAGGTTGGCTTCAGGCTGGTGGGGTGGAGGGGCTGGGGAGATCCCAGCACATGGCCATGGATGATGGCTGGGGAACATTCATGGTTATCTCATGCCAGCCCAAACACATCTCTTCCCTTGTACTGCCTTCAGGTCCTAAGACAATGTCCTTCATGCTCCTTTAGATGCCTGGCTACCCCTCTACAAGACCTTTCTTTTTCCCTTTCCTATCACTTCTTTAACCCTTCCCTAGACACACACCTCTCCTAATGCCCTGATATCCTCCTAGGTGCACATTTTAATGCTGAAAAGGAGTAGCAAAGAGGGAAGTGGGGGTTAGTAGCCATTTTTACTTTTCTACCTCTTTTCAATCCCCAGGATTTTGCTGTTGGTAATAATTCCTTCCTGCACTTAACTTAACAAAAGACTTCCAGTCTTTTGCTGGAAACATTCACAGCTTGTTTTTCACTCTCAGGGGCTTCATAACTTCTAAAAATGCAGTGTCCCAGCACTATACTTTCTAGCATTTCAGCTTTTTTAACATGTCAGACCCTTTCTTGTACACAATCTTTCTTCTATGGTTCCCCACCATGCAGCTTTTTTTTTCCAGCTTCTTCTCACCCACTGGCATTTTAGCATTATTTAACTTCTCTACTAACACTGCCCATCACCTGGTAAACACCTTTTGCTCACTCTTCTCTCAGCAACATCACCTCTGTACTGCTATTTTGTGCTGCTCCTGCTCCCTACATAATTTATGTCTTGAGTCTTCCACCTCCCCAACCTACCTTACCAAACAGCATTATGCTCACACTGTCCAAGATACAGTTTTCTTCTGCTTACTTCCATCTCTTAGAATTTTTCATTACTTGAAATCATAATAAATGCTGCTCAACTTCAGCCTGCTGAGATTGGCTTTAATTACTCTTTAATTACTGTAGGAATAGCAGAGAGATGTTAAGGTGCCAACATGGTTCCTGCATTTAAAGTGGAAAAGCCTTAAGATAAATGGATCTAAAGGCCAGGTAGCTGGCAAGTATCCAGTGAAAAATAATGGAAAAAGCATTTGTTACAGATGTTAGTTAATGGAGAATTACAGAATAGGAATGTGGCTTTTTGGAATGAGACATTCAATTTCATAATAAAGTTGTGTTTGATACAATAAATTCATAGTGTTATGGTACAGAGTTTTTTTAAGGCATGACCTATTGATAAAAAGAGAATTATGATATGTTGTATTGATTCAGAAGATGAAAAGTCCATAAAATATAGATTAAGTGGACTGAGAACTTTCAATAGGTGGAAGAGATAATTGTCTACTTGGAATGCTCTATTTTGTTTGGTTTCTGCAGGGATCAGTTGTTAAATGAGAACTGGTTAATGTTTCCAACCATGATTTTAAGGAAAGTACAAATCAGATAAAACCCTACAGATGACACAAGCATGATAGGGTGGTTGCAAGAGGCACAAGCTACTCAAAGAGATCTAGATAACTTGATAAGTTAAATATATTCAAACAAAATACATTTTCTTACAGGCAGGAGAAACATAATTATGTAGGAACACGTAAGAATAAAAGCCACCCTTACAAAAGGACCCCTAAAAACTTGCTAAGTCACAGAGGATACGCAAGATTACACGAGTTCTTACTGTGTTGTCCTGTTAAAAAAGGCAAATGGGGTCCTTGCATGGCTAAGGTAGGGATAGGGCTAAGGGGTAGAGAGTAAGAATGGTTGAATCTTCAGCAAAAACAGTTAACAAGATTCCTGCTGGCCTAAATACGAGTGTGGGAAGTAGGAGTGAGCGATCTGTTTTTTATACCTCATGAGGAAATCCTGGGTATGGTGCCACAAATACACAGATACACAGGCACAAATACAGGCAAGCTGGAAAACTGGAGATAGCTGAGAAAAAAACATGGTGGGACTGTGGTTTAAGGCTTAAGAAAGGCTTAAAGAAACTGACACGTGAAACTATCTAGAATAGGAAGACTGGATGGTGAATTGATTGTGGTATAGAATATTGAGAAGAAAATACTAAAATACTACCTACTAATGCCCTGTTTTAATTTGAGAATGATTCAGAGAGGCTGAAGAGAGGTTGGGAGATTGAAGCCAAACACTCGAGTAGTGAGGTTCTTGCCTACTGAAGGAAACCATCCTATGAGCAAAGGCTGAGAGAATGGGGAATGTTCAGCGTGGAGAGGAGAAGAGTCAGGGTGGATCTTATATCTCTTTATACTTCCAGGCACAAGTACCAATTGAGAGAGGGGAGGCATTTAAACTAAAGAAAAATGGCTTTATGGTGATGGTGGCCAAATTTTTTAACATTGGTTGTATGTCTATGGCTTTGGAGATGTTCAAAAGATGATTGGATAAGGCTCTGGTCAACTTTCACTAGTTGTCTCTCTTTTGAGAAGCAGATTGGTGTAAGCAATCTTCATATGTCCTGTGTGGTATCAACCATGCTGTGATTCCACAACATTTTTTATTTTGAAGACACTCTGTGTTGTAGCTAAGGATGTTTAGGCCTCCAAAATGTCTTCTCCCTTGGAATTGCTCAGCATGGTCTCAGCACAGCTGTGTGCCAAATGCAAAAAAGGCTTGACAAGAAAGGGTTAGCAAGATTTTAGGATTTATTCCAAATTAAAGTAAACCTGAACTGATGGAAAATGGACATCTTTGGGGAAACAAATCAAGCTGCTCCATGCCATCAGGACCTTGGCTGTTTTTTTTTTGCAGGAACCAATTATGCCAATGAGGACCAGGGATTCTGTGCTGCCTGACAAAGGCAATGTGACAGGATAATGGCAGTAAGAAGTGGCAATAATCAGGATTGTTTCTCTGTCTCCTTTGTTACAGAGCCTTGAGACTTTGGTAGGAGGGATTTCGGCTGCCAGAAAGTTGTGTGATGTACAGTGAAGTGATGAAATCAGCACTGTGACTGCGTAATGCATGTGATGGTGGTGGGGACAGGACTGCAATGAGGCAAGCACAGGTTTGAGCACAGTGGCAAAGAGCACTGCCCTGAGCCAAGTCCCCAACTCAGGCTTCTTTTCTCAGTAGCTTGTTCATAATTGCAGCTGGATTTCTTAAATCAATGAATAAACAGACTTGGCAAAGACTATCCCCAGGGGGTCTGGAAAAGGATCTTGTTGCCCCCATGACCCCTGGAGCAGCTGTTGGGAGAGGCTGAATGGAAGGGGGTTGTGTGCAAGCACGCTGGCCCTTTGCACGCCCAGCCTCTGGGCAGGAAGGCTGGCCAGGTGCCCAGCACTGTAAAGGGCAACACTTCAGCTAATGTAGGCACGAGGGATGAGGTGGATCCAGTGTCATCCCTGAAGAGGCATCAGGTGGCTCTGAAGAGGAGGGAAAACATGGTACTTCACTCCTCTCTGGGATGGAATTAAGAGATAAATTGGGTAATTACCGAGCTCACCACACTTTGTGAGTTCTGGCTGCAGGTCAGTCCAAGAAGTGTGAATCCAGGCCCTGGTGCCCTGATGCCTGCAGCACACTGTGTGGTATTTTCTGGGTCCCCCGTTGGAGGGAGAAAATGATGAATCTGACTCCATGTTCTTAGAAGGGTAATTTATTATTTTATGATCTATATTATATTAAAGAATAGTATACTAAACTATACTAAAGAATACAGACAGGCTACAGACAGAAGGCTAAAAGAGACTAATGAAAAACTTGTGACTCTCTCCTCAGAGTCTGACACAGCTTGACAGTAATTGGTCATTAAGTTAAAACAATTCACGTGAAACCAATGAAACAATGACCAGTTGGTAAACAATATCCCAACCACATTCCAAAGCAGCAAAACATGGGAGAAGTGAATCAGATAATTATTGTTTTCATTTTTCTCTGAGGCTTCTCAGCTTCCCAGGAGAAGAAATCCTGGTGAAGGGATTTTTCAGAAAATATGACGGTGACATCACTGCATGCACAGGCTGGGAGCATAGATCCCATGGCTTTTGGTGGGATGTATCATCTATATTTCTGGATCCCCTTGTGGACCTCACAGTGGATTCTGTTTCCACTTCTGCACTGTACAGTCCACATGGCTCCTCAATAGTTACACTCATCAGCAGCCTGGGGAATGTGGTGCAGATCACTGCAGGGTGTAGGGGAGGTACGGGCCAGCACTGCAGGTGGAAGGGTGATGGGTTGAGCCTGGATCTGTTAACTGAACAAATAGTTTGATTGTAACTCTTCTCCCAGTTAGAAGTGTTGTTGGGAAGAAGTGAGAGTGAAGGCTGTTTGCTAGACAGAGATGCGAAAATTCAGGCAGATTTGAAAGTGATGACCTAAGTTGTGAAAATGTGCCCCAGATGACTCATCTCAGAATTAAAATACTGACAGTTAAAGAGAGCCTTTAGGCAAATTATTTGGTCTAACCACAGGTCAGCAGTGTATCCAGCACAGAGACTGTTTTGTTACACTGGCTGGACTCAGGACATAAAAGGCAGGGTAGGACCAAATTGCATATTGGGGTCAATGTCATCTCCTCTTTCTA